AGCCCCTTTGACAGCTCTTTAAAGATACTGCATACATGAAATTTAGATCTGCACATCTCTCACAGGCAAGAACACATGGCGCAATACTATTCAACCTCCTGAGCCACCTTCCCTCGGGATATTTTAAATGTGACTGATGAAGTTCATAGTAGCCATGCTCTTGATGGGTTGCAAGCAATTGCACATTACACCCTCCCATTTCCTCCCTGACACAAAGTGAATGAATACCCCCTATTTTAGAGCAATTACTGGTCATGGGTAGGATTTAGTTTTCTTGGTCGAGGGCTTACCTTAAATCTGCTTCCATCATCTTGAATAAAGTAGTAATCCACTGCACTGACTAAGCGTTTGTCTTCATCTAAAATCTCAGTCTGTAGGAGAACCATAGATCATGAGCATATTACCGTCTACATAGCCTAGGAGCTGTTTCTGGGCTACTCTTTGAGAAACTAAGTGCTCCAAAGACAAAAATCCTTGTGCCTAGCTCCTTTACCCCTATATAAACATCACCAGCCTCATTTATAAGAACTGCATTACAATGGTTCCCCAGTGGGGATTTTTCTGAATTTTTCTTTAATAATTCTTAAAAGCTTTCAGTTGATGGCTAACATATCTTTCGCCTTCATCTTACCATGGTGACCACTTTGTGGTCTCCATGTTAAACAGGAAAGGAGAAGTACTTCCAATAACTAAATTTCTTAGACAATGGCTTCCTTCTTCCCTACTAGACAAGACTGATGATTATAGGAAGGGTTGCAGCCACCCACTAGAAGCCAAAGGCTGAGCAGTGTTCATTCAGATACTTACAGGGTGCATGTTGATGAGCCAGCCAGTCCTTTCTCCAGGCTCTTTCAGCCTCTCAAAACCAAACCTAAAGTCCATCTTATCTGTCCACTGGCTCCGTTCCAGACGCTTGAGCGCTGAGATTGAAGAAGAGGGACCATCATCCCTGAGTAAAAGAAGAGAATCAGGCTTTACCATTCACATTTCCCACTCTAGACCCCTAACTTTCAGCTATGTTTTGCTGTTGTTTTGTTTAGGAGACAGGGTCTCACTATGTAGACCAGACTGGCTCCAACTCACAGCGATCCACCTGCCTATTTCTCAAGTACTGGGATTAAAAGCATGTGTCACAACACTTGATGTCTATGTGTTTCTGATAAGGCACGGCATATACATCCCTGAAAAAACTTCAATGCCAGTAGAAGACTCAGTGAAAAAAACAAAACAAACAAAACAAAACCAAAACAGCATTTATATGAAAAACACAACAAAGGCAAAACCTAACCCAGCCTATTTGACTTTATCACCAGAATGCTAACAAAAACACCAGTCATACAAGAATGCCATTTCTTCTTGGGATATTAAAACCTCATAGAGTCCAGAATTGCAAAGCTTTATGCCAGAGAAATGAAAACTCATTTCACAAAAATTTGTAAGCAAATATCATAGCACTTTTATTTATAAAGGCTAAACCTGCAAATAATTCAGATTTCTTTTTCTTTAAAGATTTATTTATTTATTATGTATATAATGTTCTGTCTGCATGTCTGCCTGAAGGCCAGAAGAGGAAGCCAGATCTCATTACAGATGGTTGCTGGAAATTGAACTCAGGACCTCTGGAAGAAGAGCCAGTGCTCTTAACTACTGAGTCATCTCTCCAGCTCCCAATTCAGATATTTCTTACTAAGAGTAATTTTAGTTTATCCATATATAAATACTATCCAGTAATAACTTGACAAACACAACTTGGATGGATCACCAGAGAATTAAACCAATGCTATTAAGCTACACATTTGTGCCATTTTTTTGGGGGTGGTGGTGGCTTTGGGGGGCTGTCCTGGAACTAGCTCTTGTAGACCAGGCTGGTCTTGAACTCACAGAGATCTGCTGCCTCTGCCTGCCGAGTGCTGGGATCAAAGGTGTTCGCCACCACTGCCCGGCTACATTTGTGCCATTTTATATAGCACTTAGTATATAAAATTATAGAGATGGAGATCAGATCACCAGTTGACAAACATGGGAGCGGGAGGAATGGCTATCTATGGTCATGAAAATCAGCATCCAAATCTTTATGACATGGCATTCTGTATTTCAAATGTGCTGATAAAGTTCATGAATATACACGTGTGACTAAACAACACAGTACTGAATACATGTACATGTGTAAGAGTGCAGTTGGTGCAATCTAACTGATGACAACTGGCTGCTATAACACTGAGCTTTCATTCTGGTTACATTATCATTGGGGCAGTCTGGATCTACAGCATTTCTGACAAGTATGTGAGAATCCACAATTACATCAAGATTAATGCCTCCCTCCCCCCTCAAGACGGGGTCTCACTGTGTAGCCCTGACTGTCCTGGGACAGGTTTTGTAGACCAGGCTGGCCTGGAACTCAGAGATTCATGTGCCTCTGCCTCCCAAGTACTGGGTTTAGAGGTGTGCACTACAATGCCCAGCTCTCCTTGCTTCTTTTTGAGACAGTCTCAGGCTGGCCTTGGACTCACAATCTTCTTGCCCTTGCTTCCAAAGTGGTGGAACTACAGGTGTGCACCACCACACCTTGCTCAGATTTACCTTTAATTAAAAACACAAACTATTTATGACTTAGCTAGAAAAACCAGCTTTAGTCTGTACCTGGATCTTCTTCAAAGCCAGGGCTGAATGAAGTGTTACTTCTGAGAAACACAAAAACTCCTTGCCCCTTAAGTGCCACCCTGGTGAGTGAGTGGGTAGACTAGAAAATTGTTCACCCAGACCCCATCTCCTCCCAATACACACTCTCCTATAAGCTGTCTACCTTACTGTTTATTCAGCAATAGTACAAAACTTTAAAAACAAGCATGAAAGTCACAAAGACAACTGCTTACATATTACTACAGTGTCAAAACACTGAGCGTACATTCTCAGTTTTCATGACAGCACCTATGAAGATTACCATGCATTTCCTTATTCAATGAAAAAGGAGACAGCTGACTCTAAAGCTCACACTCTTTACCGACACCTACAGCCTCAAGGAGACATGCTTTCCTCACAGGCCTGCTGCAAGGATTAAGTGAGCTAATCCACAAAAAGCATACAGGACTTATAGTATAAGGTATAAACTAAAAACTGTTACTTATCGACACATCCAGGAGTACATAAGCAGCACAAATGAGGTTATTAAAAAGAAAGAAAGAAAGAAAGAAAGAAAGAAAGATAGAAAGAAAGAAAAGAAAGAAAGGAAGGAAGGAAGGAGAGAGGGCTGGGGAGATGGCTCAGTGGTTAAGAGCACTGGCTACTCTTCCAGAGGTCCCGAGTTTGATTCCCAGCAACCAAATGTTGGCTCACAACTATCTGTAATGAGATCTGGTACACTCTTCTGGCCCGCAGGCATACATGCAGGCAGAATGTTGTATACATGACAGATATAGATAGAAAAACAACGAGATCTTTGCCAGGTGGTGGTGGCACATGCCTTTAACCCCAATACTGGGGAGGAAGAGGCAGGCAGATCTCTGTGAGTTCAGGCCAGTCTGATCTACAGAGTGAGTTCCAGGACAGCCAGTGCTACATAGAGAAACCCTGTCTCAAAAAACAAAAGAACAACAACAACAACAACAAAAAATCGAGGTCTTGGAAGTTGGAGAGGAATACATTTGGGAGGAAATAAGAAGAGGAGTTGGGTGTAAAGGCATATTATTTATTTTTGGTTTTTTGAGACAGGGTTTCTCTGTGTAACAGCTCTGGCTGTCTTGGAACTCGCTCTGAAGACCTGGGTGTCCCTGAACTCACAGAGATCCACCTGCCTCTAGCGCTGGGATCAGAGGCATGGACAACCACCACATGGCTGATGTTGTACTTAACAAACTTGCTTGCACGAGCCATCAGCTTGTGAGCGACCTCCTGATCCTGAACTTTCTTATCTTCTATTTTCTCATCCCTTGGTCATCGTTCTGTCAGGAACCTGTCACCTGAACAAGTACCTGCTGGTCCAGGTCAATGACCATAGCTGCCATCAAATCCATGGCTTCACACATGCTGGGAAAACACTATTCAGCTCTTGGAAGGGTTTCCCCTCAACTAAGGCTCCCATTCTGACACATTGTCTCACGGCTCAACCAACTGCTTATGCCACTAGGCAGCGTTACCAGTCTCAACACACACACACACACACACAC